TCAATCTTCAATATTCTCTTTAAAAATATCTCAAAGCTTACTCATTTCTTTCCACAATTTCAAGTCCCTTTCTTTTGCTATAGAACCATTGTTGACATCCCTTCCTCTACCATACTTCCCAATAAGCACCTGGGCCCATAATTCCATAGGTTGATTAAGAAGTCTCCATAAGAGTTTGAGTAAGAAAGCATCATTCATTAACTTCATTGACTTGATTCCCACTCCTCCCACATTCTTGGGGCTACACAGAGTTTCCCATTTAACAGCATATCTATGTTTTACTTCCCCTTGTTCTCCTCAGATAAATCTTCTCTACTCTTTCTCAATCTCTTCCACTATACCACAAGGTATCCTATCATGTTGGAGTTGATTAAGTGTCATGGCACTAATGGTCACTTTAACCAAAGTTATCAGACCCACCAAGGACAAACTAGAGGCTTTCCACCCATTCAATCTATTCTTCACTCTCTCCACAATCTCGACATACTTCTCCCTCCTCTTTCTTGGATAGGATAAATCAGCACCGAGGTATTAGCCCATCTCTTCTACTTTCTTGATTTGACTCCTTCTGCATATGGCCCTCTGAGTCTGCTCTCTAACATTCGGTAAGAAGTAGATATAGTTCTTTTCCTTGCTCACTTTATGCCTAGATATCTCCCCAAACTCCTGGAAAACACTAACAATAACATCAATTTGATCTAGTTCTGCTTCTGTAAAGAGAACTAGATCATCAGCAAAAATCATGAGAAATTTTGGCACCCTTTCTACTAGCTCTCAAACCTTTCTAGTGTTTTGCTCTCACTCTATCTAGGATCAAGTGTGTGAGTTTTTCAATGCCAAGAACAAACAGAAAAGGAGAAATTGGATCCCCTTGTCTAATTCCTCTTGTTGGGGAGAACTCATCAAGCTTTTCTCCATGCCACAGAATCGCTATAGAGGTAGTGTCAACACATCTCGTGATGTGGTTCACCATTTCCTGTGGGCATTGAATTTCCTCTAGTACTCTTCGCATAAATTGCTAGCTAAGTCTGTCATAGGCTTTCTCAAGGTCAACTTTGATTGCCATAAAGCCTTTCCTGCCTCTTTTCTTGCAGGTTGGATGAATCAATTCATTAACCACAATGATATTATCCTTTATATTTCTGCTAGGAACAAAGCTAACTTGATAAGGTAAGACAATTTTTTCCATGATGCCTTTCAATCTTCTCACAATAATCTTAGAAACACATTTGTATACCACATTGCACAAGGAGATTGGTCTAAACTAATTGACCCATCCAGACTTTCTATTTTGGGTATGAGAGTGACCAAGGTTTTATTGACTGTCACTAACATGTCATATTGCTACCATAGAGTCCTAATTGAATTGCAAACATTCTCTCCTACTATTTTCCAGTTTCGCTAAAAAATTGCTGGGAAACCATCTTTCCCTAGTGCCTTCATTCCTTCAATAGAAAACATGGCATTTTTGAATTTCCTCATTAAAGATATGGGTTCACACATATTCTGCCACCCTTCCTTTGAAACTTGAGGCCTCTTATGCCTTGTTTACATCCATGTTTTGTTACCTTCTTCTCCCTTGAAGAGATTTTGGAAGAAGGAATTTATCACTTGTCCAGTCCCCTCTTTTCACTCAGCCCAGTTACCACTTGCATCCTTCAGAGTCATGACCCTACTTTTTCTTCTTCTTTTATTTGTCTTTGTGTGGTAGTATTTAGTATTTCTATCTCTATCCTTTAACCACCTTGTTCTAGCCTTTTGGAACCAAAGCAGTTCTTCCCATTTAAGCACTTCTCTAAAAGCATAATCCTTCCAAATAAGGATTATGCTTTCTTTGTAGGCTTCCTTGGATCCCCGCAATTCTGTTTAACAACTTCCATTTTTGTTTTTTGATGTATCCGAGCACCTCCTAGTTCCAAGTTTCCAATTTTTGTTCCAGCTCTTCTAGCTCATGCCACACTTCATCATTTCTTTGCCAATTTTCCTTCAACATTCTTTTGAAATCTTTGTGTTTTATCCACATCGCCTCAAACCTAAAAGGTCGATTCTTTTTCCTTCCTTCCAGCACTTTAAGGTGGATAATAAGTGGATGATGAACAAATTGTATCCTAGGCCCAACTCTCACAAAAGCTTCAACAAAGTGATTTCTCCACTCTGTTACACAACATTGGGTCTAATTTTTTATAGAGCCTTTACGCAAAGTTGATTAATGGTCCCCTCCAAGTATACTTAGGCCCCTTTGAATTAACTTTAACAAGTTTGCAAGTCTCAATATTGTCCTTAAACCTCTAAAACTTTGCATGATTAAAAGTTCTGCTCCCTCTTTTTCTCTTCCTCACATTTGACGTCATTAAAGTCACCTATAAGCATCGAAAATTGAGTCATGTTCATAGCTATTTGTTCATTCCAGAGATCTCTTCTCTCACTCTCTCTAGGACTTGCATACATAGCTGTAAAACCCATGGTATACCTCCTTCAAAGGCTACTTGACAATATATGAACTGGTAATTACTTTTAAGCACCGTCACTTGAATATTATTATCTTCCCAAAGCAGCCAAATACCCCCAGACAAGCCTCTAGCTTTTTCAATTTCTTGATTTTTAAAACCCAATTTTTTAATGACCTCTTGGGCTCTAATTCCACTACATCTTGTCTCAACTAACACTACCAACACAGGTTTAAATTTTGCTTTCAACTCTTTTAAAGCATGACTGAAATCCTGCTCCTCTAGCATTCCAGACTAAAATCATTAAAAAGAGAGCAACATAAGAAGCACCAGTCAATTAATTATCCACAGAACCTCACGTCTTATTCGGATTGCAAGGTCTCCGTAATTACCATGGTTTCTTCCCTTTTATTCTCCTGCTGTTTTACCAGAATTTCTGCCCGGGAAATTCATAATCTCAGCTGGATTTGGAGGCTTAGACTCCTCCTCATTCATTGTCTCATCATTCTGGCCCGAATCTTTTATTTCTCTTAAATCTTTTTGTTTACCATTCTGTGACCCATTTATGCCACCCCCTAGGCCCGCTAACTCTTCTCTTCCTTTTTCTTTAAGAAGCCCAATAATTCCTTCTCCTCCCTAGCCCACTTGTTGCATCTCTTTCCTCCTCAATTCCCGTTTCTTTGCTGTCACTATTTGACCTTCTTTTTTACTTTTTTCTTTTTTCTCTTTCCTCTTAAATGCAGTTGTCTTCTTCACATTCATCAAGAACTACTCATTTTTCTTTTTATGCTCCGAGATCTCCCCTTTTTCACTCTTTTGTCTTCTTGATCTCTGGCTGCTCGGTCTCGAGATATCTCCGACTGATTTGAAATATCCTATAACACCCCTCTCTTTTCTTCTATTTTTTCACAGTCTGCGCCATCCATCCTCATAGTTTTTAATATTGTGAATTTCGAAACTTGTCCAATCTTCCTTGTACTTCCCAAATCCTTACTTTGACCTTCCCCTACCCTTCCTTCTTTAGCTGTATCTCAACATCCACACCAAGAGTCTTGTACCACCATCCATTCTCCAACTTTCCTCGCCGAAGTTGTTACCTGAGGTCCACTTTTAGTGGCCTTCCTCATTTCAGGCTTGGTTTCTTGCACTTGTTCCACATTCGTAAGACTTTCCTTCCCTTTCAGCAATGGAAAATGTTCACCAACCTGCCCAAATTTTCCTTAATGGAGGAATATAAGATTTAATCCTTCATATTCTATCTTCAGATTATTACCATCCACTATGTATGGAAGCAGTAGCGGTGCATTCAAATCAACCTCCACACTCATTCGAGCATACATAGTTCTTGCTCTTGTCAGAGTCATCTCATCTACCTTGATTGGCTTTCCTATTTCATTTCCCAGGTGATAAAAGAATTTTTTTATCATAATAGTCCCCTAGCAATCTTGGCAAACAAACCCAAACTGCAACTTGTTTGATCTTCTCATTCCACACATTAAAATTTCTTTTCCACGTTTGCATGGTGAAATAATTGTTCTTTACTAGCCACGATCCTCCTAATACAAAGAAGTAGTCTTCTGGTTCTTTGAACGTAACAATCATGTAGCTATTACCTATATCTGAGAGGTCTATTGATCCTGTTTTCCCCCACATTAGTTGGAGTTTTCTTCGTAATTACATGACCCTAATAGTCTCTCCCAGAAGTTTGATTATTAAGGCATATTCCTATCTTTTCTCCAATCTTCTTCTTTGTTCCTCTAAAAACTTAATGAGGTCCTAGTGCAGAGTCTGTAATAATCACTCCTTTCTTCATCTCTTCATCATTGCTCAGAAGTAAGCTACCATCCCATTCCTCCTCTTGTTTTCTTTGCTCTTCCCCTTTCTCTTTATTTGATTTTGGTTTGAGCACTTCTCTATATGATATAATGTTCCCTCTTTCGCCTCCTTCCTCTGGTTCCATCCATTTTTCTTGTCGCGGTTGAAGAGATTTCCCCTAAGAAGTCCCCGGTTCTCCTTTGGTGCTTCTCTCTTGTTTCTTCTTTTCCCCGTCCTTCTTCAACTCTCCTGTCTTTCATTACATCAAGCAAATGGTCCTCCTTATCTAGCCTCACTCTCGTGGTATGGTCTTTCTTTATCTACTCAGTTCTCACCTCCTTTCCTTCCGATAGGCTGTCCGAAAGTTGTTTCTTCAGTGTTGCGTTAGTTGCATCCATGGAAAAAGTCACTCTCTCACTAGATTCTCTTTCTCTCTCTACAACTTAGCCATTTTTATTTCTCCTCCATTTATAACAAGTTTCACTTTGTTAAAATAATTTTTATCCCAAAAACCAAATCTTGAGTCAACTTTTACCCCTAGTTTTTTCAGTTTACAAAAATCAATTAAAATAAGTCATTTTTACCAAAGGGCAACACGAACAAGCTTTAAATTTATTTGAAAATGGAAAAAAAAAAAAGGAATGTTCAAATGTACCCTTACTTAAAATCATGGACTACAATTTGAAAAGTACAAAAAGAGAGATTGCACCAAACTTAAAATAGAGGCACTCCTTAAAATAGGGACCAAAGAAAATATAGCACTTTTCAATTAGTTAACTAATAATAATAGCTCTAACACAATATTGCATGCATTGCTACATAAATAATAGAAGAAAAAAGTATGAGCGTAATATGCACATTCTCCAGTGCTTTCTAAGTAAACACTAATTTTAGAAATACCAAGGGAAAACAGTTGTACATGACACCCTAAACTCTTGACTCGGTCTAAACTTGTACCTTGGCAAAGGTGAACACGGAGAGGAACCTTTGTCAAATCCCATTCTGACTCAATCTCTTATATTCAAGCAAATTATTACATACTCAAAAAATGCCATGATTTAAACTTTTTCTCATAAAAACAATATAAATCAAATAAATTAGTTGAAAGGGCAAAGAAAGAAGGAAGAAATTTAGGACAGAAATTTAGGTAAGCTGGAAAGAGAAAATAAAGTTAAAAATATAAAAAAACATTTCTAATTTATTGATTCGAAATGTTTTTATTGGATAAAGTATAAATAACATGGCTCTTCAGGAGTATGTCATAATTTTAACTTATAGTCACCTCAACCAAACATGACGGACACACAAGCGTACACAAATTCACACACCTCCCAAAATGCATGTCCACTGGCAAACAACCAACAATCTTAAGTTCATTTCTTGGTTTTATCAAGAACCTCAATGAGTCTCTTTGGAACTCCATATTGTTCAATCAAATGCCTCGCCAAGTCATCAATCACGCCACCTTGAACCAAGACTTCATTCCCTTTCTTACCTGAGAGAATGATTACAAAATTTCAGATGGATATTAAGATGAATAGAGAAACTTTCATTAGATCAGCAACATAAGCCACAGAAAGATCAAAATGAAGCAAACTGCGGGTACCACTCCCATAAATAGTTAGTCAGGCATCCGCATTAGTCTGAATGAGATAAGAGAAACACACTGAATCAATGGTGAAGTAGCAACCAATTATTTGCAAATTATAGGCCACTAAAAATATCTCAGGTCGTTAGATGCTTTAAAAGAAAATGGCTATAAACATATCAAGGCCACAAGGAATCCAATTTCTTCCCATACTGAAATCTGTATCCAATTCCAAATTTTTAATTGACCCCCTCACGAACAGATCAGACTGCCAGTGCCAAGCAATAAATCCAACCAAGCAATGAGGATTCCAGAACAGTAAAAGTAATATAAATTCTGCTTTTGATGAGTAGTTTTTAGTGTTTAAATCAGAAAAAAGAAGCTCAAATTGGTGTATGGTTCCCCGTCCAAAGAGTCCTTGATTCAATTCACACTCTTTAAATTCATATTAATGTCCTTGTATATAGGCAAAGTCCCCTTGCCAACTTTCAGTTTTGGACCAACGCCCTTAACAACTCTAACTACCCTCCACAACCAACACTAACTGAATCTAATATTTTCTGCCGTAACATATATGACATTAAGGTCGTACATATCTTAAAGGTAATAAGCAGAAAATATACCATAGAAACGGTAATGTTCTATTGTCTAACAAATACCTGGTAGTTCTGCAACAGTGGTACTGCAAGCAAACTTCTTCTGCAGTTCCGCTGCTAATGCTTCAGCATCTATCAGAAAGGTTTCCATACCAGTAAGTTTGGTCACCTTCTTATTTCCTTGCCGTCGTTCAGTCACTATTTGAATTGTTTTGATTGCACCTTTACGAACCACCTGTTCACTTCCTCTTGTTACAACATGATGCGCTTGCATACGGCTTATGAATGTTGATCCTAAGTCTTTCTTATGAATTTCTGTAGGATATGTTGTTCCTTTTTTAATGACCCCCTTGAACAGCGCATCACATAATACTACATCCAAAACCACAATGGATTTATTCGTTGGCTTCACAAGATTTTCCTTTTCAACGTATTTGAAGACAATATCAGAAGCTTCAGAAGCACTGTAAAGTTTCCCCGTGTCCGCTTCTACAGCTGAGAATATGGGATTGACATGTACACTTGGTTTATAGATCTCAGCTACTTCAAGAGTTTTGGATGAGCGACTTTCATTAGCAGCATTTACACTGGGCTGATCACTTTTCTGAACTGGCCTTTTCTCTGGCTTAAAGGAAGAATAATCAACATGGTTTCTATTAATTGATAATAGCATGGCCTCCTTCTTATATTTATCTTCTTTGACTGAAATCTGTACAAAATGGAAATATGAAAATCTAGACACGGTATTGCAAATGAATTAACTGCAAATGCTTTTTGCTAAAAGTCAAATAATAAAAACACACTAGCAAATAAATAAACTGGAGAGAACAGAAAACAGAAAGTCCATTATAATTGGGTCACCTTTTAAGCACAAAGCATACATATTCTTATCAGAAATTATTGTCAACCTCACTAAATCAGTAAAAGAATTGGAAAAAGAATCTTTGGAGTAATATGTTAGAGTAATATAACCAATCAGCATCATTGTCTGCAAATGAACAAGCCATCAATTATGAATTGAATTAGGAACACTCAATATTAGAATTTCTATTATTGTCTGTTAAAGCACTTTTATATTACTACTTTCTTTATGCAAGTGATTTTAGTTACCCAAATCCTACTTTATAAACCCTTGGCCATGAAGTTTTGAGGGAGCTTAGTGAATGGAAAAATTTTCATTACTTCAATTTCCCTCCCTTTCTTCGTCCTCCACTCCACCTTCTACTCTCTATTTCTATCTGCTACTTCTCTTTTCTACTCTCTATCTGCCTATTTCTCCCTCCTCCCTCCATCTACTATTGGTCCTACAATGAGAATTTTCACAGCAAAATTCTCATTGTCATGTAGCCAATTTTCCATTTAATTGTATCTTACAGCTAAACTGAAAAAATTTCAGTCATAACAGCTTCAAATATGGTCCTAATTCTAACTGCACAACTACCTACAATCTTATTCTCATTACAATTTTTCACGAGTCAATATATGGCAGCTTGTTATTAAATTTGTTCTTCCAGCACATTGACCTACATACCTAACATTTCAATGAGTGCCTGAATTCCACCATCAAAGTGGATCCTCCCAGGAAAAACTTCGTTTACCAAAGGGAAGATAGAAAAGTGACCAAGCAACCAAAGTTCTAAGATTAAAATCTACATAAATAATTCAGCACAATTTTTAGTCTTACACATTGAAATATTTATTCCATTTCAATATTAGCATGATCCCACCATTTATGAACGTTCCCAGAAGGATAAAAGAGAGCAGTAGATAACACACCAAGCCAGAGGTAGATTTTGCTTGCAACCACTTTGAAACTTTCTTGTGTGATGACTTTTTTATGTCTAAAGTCATTCCTGAAGGCCTACATGGCAACACATGATTTGACCTGTGACATATAGAAATATGCATTAGATAATTTACGGGAAAGAAAAGTCAGGCTTTCTAAAGTTTGAAGTACAACAAGTTGCTCTAGTCATCTCAAGTTTCAATAAGACACTGTACAAATAATTTGTAGGGCATCATGCTTGGTTATTCCACTAGCTAATGCCTTTGATAACAGCTGGAGCAACTTGCCTGATCTCTAACGACCACTAGCACGATTTATCACCCATAGAATCTGAAAATGACTTCAATTCAAGGGTTCTTTTTTACATAGAATGAACCTTAAAGATGAGAGTAGCGGGGAAGAGGTGATTTTGATAATAAAAAGACCATGTGCCCCAATATAAAAAAGGCTAAATTACATAAAACTTCCCTGAGCTTAGAATCACATACAAATACCTCCTTAACCCTATAAGCTTAAGATAAACCCCCCAAACCTTTAGTATATGCAGATAATCTTAAACTATCAATTTTATACCCCCTTTATTTTTGTATGCATATAACCCCCTCAAATTTTGAGTTATAGGCAAATAAACTCCTTAAACTTCAAGTCATTTGCAGTAAATAATGAACAAAGCTAATGGTATGTAAGTTATCTTCATAATGCAAAAGATCAAGGAGGTTTACGTAAAATTCCAAAGGTTAAGGAGTTTATTTATGTATGACATAAAATTCACGTGTTTTGTGTAATCTAGCCTGTAAAAACTAATTAAAAGAATAGAAAGTCATCAACACGATTATAGGACATGATAGTTACTTTCTGCAAAAGAACGAAGAAATGGATCAAGACCCAAAATTTACGAGAAGCTTGACTAAGTTCTTGTTTTCCTACTTACATTTTCTATCATTAATAGTTACAAAATACTGTCTAAAATGTCCACACCCGCTACATTGTTTGGGGTGAAGTGACTACTCATAGTAACACCAACTCAAGTAAAATGTTCTCATCCCATTAAGAAGGGCATCCGGGATATTTACTCCACAAATTGGTAATGTGCTTCTGTTACACTGTAAAATACCAGTGCCTTGCGAGACAGATGTGCCATCTCAGAACGTGAAAAAGAAATATTTCTCATTTTCCATGCAAAATACTAGTACTTAGGCGCATTACCAATTTTGTGCAGCAAACATTCCAAACACTCAAGATGGACAGTCTTCTCCAATAGCATACTTTTGCACTTGTCTCAAATCACCTTAATGAACAAACCAACATCTAAAGATTTCAAAACTAAACAACAAAAGTATCAGTTTCTTGATTTTCTTGGTCAATATGTTGTCTGATTTGGTTCAAATGGCAAAGACCCGAGTACAGGAAATAGATTGCTAGCATAATGAGTTATACATTCTACCATAAAGTACTTCCAGGCATCGGAAGGTCTTTATCTTTCACTGTTGTATGTAATGCCTGCAGAAGGCATTTGTCCAATAGTGAATCTATATCTGCACTTGATAGACTAAGTTGGCCATTTAGTTCATCAACAGGGTCAACATCTTGTAACTTCAACTCTCCAACACCAACAGTTAATTCATTAGTGGAATCATTTGCATCATCATTTGGTGGTGCCAAGGCATGAGCAGAGTCAGCTGGAGCATCATTTACATCCAGAGATTCCACCCGCTCATTGCTTTCACTGCTGTTCTGTTGACCATTTGAAGTCTCACCTCCACCCCCAGTTGAATCAGAAGTCTGAAAAGATGATGATGTTGAAGGATCCTCGATCACAACATCCTCAAGAAAACCAGCATTGGGCACATAACGATTCTCAACTGATTCCCTGCCGAGGTAAACAAGAAGAAAACAATACTAAATTAACGTCAGTTATGGCAGATTCAATAACATTAAATCAAAGAGTCAAGCCCTTGTACACTTGCCAAAGCAAATCACCATAATAGTGAGTTATTCTTAATGCCTTCCCACGAAAACCAGCTTTTAGTGCCTCAACGCTGCTCATTGTTGTACTCCCCACCTTCATTAAAATGAAAATAGGTAAAACATTGACTGCCAGCTTGCAAGAATTGATTGTAGAATATAGCAACGGTTAACATAAAGAAGCAAAGAATAGAAATTACCGCAATTGGAGCAGGATTTCCTGGTACTTTCACTGCCCATGGTTCGCCTGCTACAAACGATGGAAGACCTTCAGGAGGTACATTTATGCCAGGGAACATCAAGTCCGCTCCTCCTATAACATACCGAGAAACCCCACCACCCTTCAACATGAAAGCAGGCAATAGCTCAGGGACCTTCCAGAGGGCATATACTGCATTGACAAAATTGAAATGCAAGATGCTAAAGTGAGCACAGCCGGCTAAGACCATCCACACTAAATGTTCAATCCTTAAGGACTGTAGCAGCAGCTTTAATAATCAATATGTTGTTTGGGCAGTAAAATTGTGAAAGAGCTGGATATTAAACTAAGGAAGGGGGAACTTAATGCTTGAAATCACAGGGACAGAGTAACTTAGCCAAGCTCACCAGAATCAAGGCCCAGATATTTGAAAAGGGCAAAAAAAAAAAGAAAGAAAGAAAGAAAGAAACACACACACACCTGTGGGAAATATGTCTGAGCCCCGTCCATCAACATCAAAGAACATTGGAAAGCCTCCCTCCACACCATATACGAGGACACGATTTTGCAACTTTGCCACCGTTATTTCTGCCTGCAATGTTGAAGGAAACAAAATAAATGCCTACAGTTCACTGGTCCTTATGTGACACTTTATTAGGACGTATTATATCCATAACTTCAACCGCCGGGTGAAAGAAAACACATAAATCAGACATAAAGTTGTTTCCAGGTTCCATTTCTTTCACCAGATGAAGCCCTCATTGAAATAAAAGTCAATGAGCAGTATACCCCCAACATGAGAAAACTTTTCACTAATACAAGAAAGGAGTAGAGAGATGAAAGGGAAGAATCATTTGAAAAATGAAAAAGAAAAAAAGAGCAACATCCATGATTTTTTATTGCTCTAGAGAAACAATTCGTGCGGTACCACTTTGAAATTGAAAGAAGAGGTCGAACTTAGTAACATGTTAGGGTGCATGACATAGTAAGAATAAAATTTGGCTAAGGCCCTTTCCGAAAACGTTTATTCATTTGGAAAAACGGAATAGAAGAATGACAAGAAGAAATGTTTCATGACCAGGGATCACATGAAGTTTCACATCAAAGGTTATATATTATAGTACGTCTACACATATAACCATAAGCATGCATACAACGGCTCTACAACAAATTAAGGCCAGCATCAACGAACTAAAAATGGAGTCGCAAATACTTTCGTAGTTATAATGAATGAATTATTAATGATATGGAATTCCCTTTTCGCCAAAAAAAAAAAATTGAATTTCCAGAACGATGTTCGAATTAATCGAATAGAAAAATATCAACAACTTATTAAAAAGAAATTTATCTCTAAAAGTTCACACTTTTATCAATCACAAAATGAATTCACAGTGACATTGGTAGACTCTGGTGATAACAATTCATAAACTACAAGGTTTGCATATTCAAGAAGTTACCTTGGGAGGAAGCAAGACGTCAATATCGGGATCAGAAGCCCTTGGGAATTTATCTTTGATGGTTCGTTTCAGCTTCTTTCGATCAGCACCAGACAATCTCTGGTGCGACTTTGACTCCACTGCCTTCTTGAACATTGTCTCTAAAAGTGAGAGAGTGAAACACTGACGCGTTCCCAACCAAGTCGAAGGATTCAGAAAAAGAGGGCAGAAAGAGGCGCTGATAATCGGAATGAGAGCGCGTGAGAGCTGCACTGTAGAACTCGGGAAACTTCTGGAAAAACGAACACGTACTAACAAATGGCGGTGCGCGGAAGCATGCTAAGGTGAAAAAAAAAACGTTGATTTGTTATAAATAAATAAAAAATAGAGAAAAGAATCCTACAAAGGAAAAAAAAAAATCAACAAAAGAGAGTATTTCTCATTCCATTTAAGTGTGCGCAATACATTATACATGGCCTCTGTTTATAGACACAATTTTACACCTTTGCTAAAATCTACAGACTACATAATAATATGAGATAATTGTGTAATATAAAGATAATAGGAGATATTGGAGATTATAGAAAATATATGGACATCCACAAAGATGTTATATTCATAACACTCCCCCTTGAATGTCTAATATATATAAATGTGCCTCATTAAAAAACTTCAATTAGGAAAAACCGTGTGGGACAAAAACTTAATGGAAGAAAAAGAGTACATTATTCTTTGATACACTACACAATACTGTCTCATTAAAATCTTACTAAGAAAACCCAATGGGACAAAACCATAGACAAGGAGAAAAAAGTAAAGCGTGTATCAATTCTCCCTTTTGGCAACATTAGTTGACATCTTCGAGCCTGCAAAATCAAATATAACGAACAATCCTTCCAAATATTGTAGTGAGATAAAAACATCAAATATGAATTTTATAATCTTCTGAAAATATGAGACGAATAGTCCTTTTATAGTTTACCCACATGTGGATCATACTATGATCTCTTGACATAAGGATCAAACAAGAATACTTTATCTATATAGCCATTAAGATTAGTCTTTGTACCTTCAGATAAAATAATATTACCTCCACGGTATTTTTAAAGTAACGAAGAATATTTTTAACTTCATTCCAACATCTTCATGTTGATAAAGAACTATATCATGCTAATCAACAAATGATAGCTCAAATTCTATATGGCTAGATAGATATATAAATACTTCGGTAACACTAAGATATGGTACTTTTGAACCAAGTGTTTATTTATTACCTTCTGGAGGTCTAAATCGATCTTTAGTCCTTATCCAAAGATCTTGTAACTACCGAAACATATAATAGATGTTGCTTATCCACATGATGGATATGACTTATCTATATGTATTCTTTCAAAAGTTTTCATTTTAAACTCTTTTTTTAAGTAATTCTTAGCTTTTGAAACTCATCAGCAGTTACGATGCTATCATTATAAATAGTACTGATGACAAACTCAGTTTGAATCTTTTCACAAACGGACAAGTTGGAATATGTTTCCATCATTCTTTCAATCGATATTAACCACATATGCCTCGTATAGAGACTTAATTGAATAATGTTCCTAAGAACATAATTGTATGTTTCTAGAGACTCAAATCCTTGAAAGATTTTCATACACTATGATCCAGATCTGTTTATGTATTGAATCGTTTAAATTTATATAAAGATTTGAATCCTTCTAGGATTCACTTATAATTTCATTATATAGTGAGTCACTATATATTTTAGACACATATGAGATATTTTCATATATTATCAAATTGCCCGATTGGTAAGATATATAAAAATTTCAATCCACTATAAGATTGCATTTCTCTTTTATTGTATAAATGCCTATCACACTTCAAGTGTTTAGGCTAAAAATACACAAATCTTCTGTCATAATGTTGCGTCTTTCTTTTTCTGTTGGCCAACCATTTTTTTGTCTATATCTCATGACGGATTTATATATAAGATCCTTATTTGATCACGTGATATTATCAATAAAATTATTGTCGACAATTTTATACTTTTATCGGTCCCTTTTTCTTTTATGACATAACATATTGAGATTTCTTTATTACTTTTAAACACTTAAACCTCTTCAAGAGTCAAATAGTTATGTCTTAATCTCTTTTGCAATTCATGCCTTCTTAGTATGATCATCATGATTATTTGTTCCTTTTTCTTTTTTTTGGAACCGATCATACTCTCATGCTTTTAGCATATCTTCAAGAATAGGAGCACTTATAGCTGGAATATAAGAATTAAAAATTCTCATTTGGATCAATAATTGCATTTGGCAGATATTAATATTTTACAAATGCAATACTTTATGAACTTCTAGTTCATACTACTATATTTGATGATCTACATTTGATAGTAAAAATGCATTCTATGTATTCTCTTTTCCAACTATATATTTTCTCCCCTTCATATTGGGAACATGCAGTGTAGGTCTTTCAAAACTCCTTTAAAAACATTATTTTGTTTCATTTAGAGACAAACAAAAATAAAGAGATTCTTATCCAATACTGATCCCAACTTACTTTTAATATCCATCTATGTGCATTATTGCAGTGGAACAATAGATATTACACATTGTAAAATGAAAAATATCTGGCTCCTGACCAAAAGCCAATTATAATGGAAGAATTCACAATACATTGTTGGCTTGATGCATTTATATACAAAAATATATAAAATAATCATCCCAACATTCAAATGGGAATTATGTTCTCATAAACTCTGATTTAGCTACTTATGGAGGCTTTTACTAAGCATATAATCATTAGTAATGTGAGGAACAGTCACTAGCAATCTCAACGAGAATTATATTGATTTCGTAGTCAACAACTTACGTACTCAATGTAATTATTTGAACATATTTGCAAACTTCAGGTTGTAAGTTGATTATAAACACCTATGATCATTTTATAAACGCATCTTTCACTTATAAAGTATTACTTTGGTCCACATGGTGTCTAAATGGGTCCATGTATAAACTTGATACATTATAAATCTGCACGAATATGATTTTGAGCATAGCTAGTGATGTTTTTTTATTTAATTCTTTTGAGAACAAACAACACATAAAAATTCTTGAATCATATGTCATTTTTAAGTAATCGTCTGGTTCTTTAATAAATGACAATTCACATTTTTATGATATTTTGCATTGTTATGATTCGAGATAATCTAATTGGTCAAGCTAAACTATAAATGCATAAACTTCTGATTTATTGTAAAATTATTCTCAATTATTAGTAAATTTCTTGTTACCATGTCATATTATTTATTTTCCACCTTAATATTTCATAAGAAATATGTTATCAATTATGATTATGATTTTATCTTCATGATAATAAATCATGGTATAACTCTTCTAGAGAGTTATTTTTTATCTTTTACCTAATGGTAAAAATTGATGCACTTATAAAATGTTGAGCGCTACTGACCCTTTTGCAGCTTTTTTCAAAAGGAATATGAAATATAAGAAATAGCATTAATATTAATAATAACAAATTTTATCTAACATACTCCTCCGGTCCTTAATATAAGACCCATTTAACTAATTTGATTAGATTAAGGAAGTTAGGTAAGTTAGTTAATTATAAAAAATGTGACATTTTTTTCCTAAAACACCATAATCATCTTTCTTAATACCCCCTCCCTCTTCTACACTTGATTATGATTGAGGGAGTATCTATAGGGGTAATTTAGAGAAAATTAATAAATATGAGAAATGGGTCTTATATTTAGGATCAAAACCAACTCACCAATTGGGTCCTATATTAAGGACCGGAGGAGTAATTCATATTTGTATTTTTTTTTTTTTGGAGAAAAGAGACAAGCCGAGGCTTGAAACCAAACAACAGAAACTAAAAGGAAAACAAGACACGAAACAAGAAAACCCAGAGGACGAAGCAGCTAGCTCCAAGCTTCGACACTAAGCTGGTTGTCAAACACTATCCTCGCGCATCCCGCCGGCACATCTTATAATAATATCGTATCAAAGGAGTCATGGTGTCCTGTCCTAGCTAGAAAATCAGCACACTTAATAATTTCTCTACCAGTATGGTGCATCTCTACGGACCAATTCCCATAGATCAGCTCTCGTGTATCTGTGATGAGGTTTCTCAAAGGATGTTCTTCAGCATGGTTTCGCATCAGCAGGTTGAAAGCTTCTAGTGAGTCCGTGTAAAGCATAATCCTGGAAAATCCCATCTGCTGGCACGTTCGTAAGCCCGTCTGGATAGCCATTAATTCGGCTTCCGTAACAGAGCAGCAGCCCAGGTTACGTTGAAATCCCATGAGCCAACTCCCTTCGTGATCTCTAATCACTCCTCCACAAGCAGCAGCCTGATGTTCCCGTACAGAGCCATCCACATCTAATCTAATGGCGTCTCTTGGAGGTGGGGTCCATTTGGTTTCCGATTTAGAGGATACATTGAAAATGTCATGTTTAAATTGCTGATTTATCACGCCTTCCATCAAGTGATATGTGCACCTCTGGATCAGTTCCCTGGTGTTCTTTGTTTTGCCCTCGAAGACGTACGCGCACCTGGAAGTCCAGAGGAACCAGCATCCAAGCATGAACACTTGAAGCCAATCCCACTTTGAAAATTTTGCGTTAGCTGGACTTTGTGTAGCATTCCAAGAAAGCCATTCCTGCAAATTAAGAGCATAAAATCTAGAAACAAAATTAGGTTGAATTAAAGATAGCCAGAAGTTTTTCGCTCTCTCACAGTCCCTCAAAACATGTATAACGCTCTCCTCACTTTGGCAATTAAAAGGACAAGTTGATGTGTTTGAGATCCCTCTTTGAGCTCTGAATGAGTTAGTGGCTATTCTCTCATGAGAAACTTGCCATAAGAAGAATTTTACTCTTTCTGATACACGGCACTTCCAGAGTTTAGACCACTAACGATCCCTCGACGACACCTGCCTCTGACTTATAAATCCATACGCTGACTTGACAGAAAAGCTCCCATCCGTAGCAGGTCTCCATATGAACACATCCTTGGAATTATTTGAGGGTGGTTTAATACGCAGGAGGATCGATATGATACTAGCCGGTAATACTCCCTGCCACTTATGCACCGCCCAGGTATCATTTTCGAGGGTGAAGTCCTTGACTTTTGCTCTGATATCCAGCCCCGAACACCCATTTGTATATGCTATGAGGGGACGATCCAATGGGGTCCACAAATCCCACCAAAAGTCAATATTACTTCCACTGTTAATTTTCTTCCCCACGCCTTGAATAAACTTTTCCCACA